TTGAGGCTATCTCCGTCATAGGCAATAAATGTTAAGTGGTTTGACTTTGGTGAAAGTCTAAATTGGTTTGACCGGTGGTCAAAGAGTTAATGGGAAACCCGTAACACCTAAATCGTTTTGAAAAGAAAGAAAATAAGTTGACTGTTGGTCAACCGTCTAAAGAACCGAATGTAAAGTTGAATTGATTTTTATTAAAAGGATAAACATATGTACGATCTTAATTGTTGAATTATTATGTTTATTCTTGTGCTCCAATGGAGTACCACTCAGCGTCAATGCTGAGCGGATAGCGTTGTTTTCCTTTTTGCTGTCCGTAGGTGATCAGGCAGATGAACCTAGAGCCGATCCCAGAGGGCATTGAGGAGGAGATGTACGATGGCGTGGCTGACTCTTTAATCTGTTGATTATGCATATTCAATTAACTTTAATGCTTATTACGTTTTTGGGCAAGATCCCAAGTTGTTTGACTTTAAAAAGGCTTCCGCATTATTTTAAATTACTCCGATGGATTTTTATATGTATTGATAGAACGTTTGTTTAAAATTGTTTTGAAAATGTCGCAAATTCGGATACCAATTCAGTGGCACACCGGTCCGCTGTCTCACGGGTTTGGGTCATGCGGGTTGGGGTGTTACATTTTGGTATCGGAGCATCTGGTTTTAAAATCGGTCTTTGGACCCTTTCAAAATAAAATACAATGAATAATTCAGCCGCATCTGCATCTCACGTAACTCCTCTGCCCCGGGAAGGTAATAAGTATTTATAGCTTTATCTGTTATATGTTAAGATCTGACGTGAGAATTTCCTTATTATTTTAGAATGAGTCAAGAATCGACCCACGTTCAGTACGTTCCGGAGCCGGAGCACGTGGGCGTGCACACGGTGAACACCGAGGGTTCGAGTTTCACGCCTCCGGGTGACGGAGGGCAACGACAGAATCAACCTGCGCCAGCGGGACAGCCACCAGCTGTACCACCGCCAGTCGTACCACCTCCAGTGATGCCACCGTTGGTGATACCGCCGGTGGCCTACGAGCAGATGTTCCCGGCCATGATGGCCCATTATATGCAGCACATGGCGCAGTTTATGCCCATAATCCAGCCACCGCCACCACCACAGCCGCAGCCGCGCATCGTTACCTTCAAGATGTTGAAGGATAATGGAGCGGAAGAGTTCCGAGGAGACAATATGGGGGAGCCCCAGATTGCATTGGATTGGCTTGAGCAGATGGACCGGGTACTCAAGAATTTGAGAGTCCCAGATGCTGATCGCTCGGAGTTGGCATCACAGATGTTCCGGAAGGGAGCATATGATTGGTGGAAGCGCATTGACCAGGATCCACACACGCCCAAGCCGTGGACCTGGGATCGCTTTGATCGAGCCTTCACGAAGGAGTACGTCCCCACCCGGTACCGCGAGGAGAGGCGCGATGAGCTCGTTGCGCTTAAGCAGGAGGGGATGTCACTGCCTGAACTGAGACAGAGGTTCGACTACCTGTCCCAGTATGCGACGAGTCTGGTCTCCACTCCGGAGGATCGTTTGAATGAGTTCGTCAAGAAACTACGGCTGGACTTGAGGCCGTACGCCGCGCTGATCACGACGACAGATTTTAATGCGGCGTATGATTTGATTGTGAAGACGGAAAAGAGCTTGGACGATCTGCAGGCAACCAAGAAAGAGGATCGAGCGACGAAAGACCCGCGACCCGCGGCCAGCACCGGGCCGAGCGGGAAGAGTTTTGGATTCGGGGGAAAGAGGTACGAGAAGGGTTCTTCGAGTGCGCCGCCGCCTAAGAGGAGTAAGTCGAGGCCGTCTCCGTCGGCTGCCGCTAGCAACTCGAACAGAACGAGGAGCCACCCGCAATGTGTACATTGTGGTAGGCATCACCCGGGCGAGTGTTGGCTCGCCCAAGGCTTATGTTTGGGCTATGGCCAGCCAGGGCATTTCATGAGGCATTGCCCGACAAACCCTAGCAGCGAGCCTGTTTTACATAGAGCTCCGGATCAGCCTGCCGCATCACATCCAGCACGGAGTCAGCAGTCTACGGCCGCAAATAATCAGCAGAGAGCACGTCCGCAGCAGTCAGGCCGGGCACCAGCGCGTACCTACGCCATGCATGGGCGCACAGATCCTAGCCCCGATGTTATCTTGGGTACGTTCGTACTATTTGATTCGGTTATGCATGCCTTGATCGATCCGGGTTCTACGCTCTCCTATATCTGTGTTGGCATGCCTGCTAATTCTACGATTGTGAGGAGTGATCTTGAGATACCTACCATTGTATCGAATCCGCTAGGACATAGCATGCGTCTTCATCACGTTTATGATAGATGTCCGTTGTCCGTGCAAGGGAAGCAATTCCCTGCAGATTTGATAGAGCTACCACACAAGGAGTTTGACATTATCCTTGGTATGGATTGGCTCACCGAGCATAGAGCAGTGGTCGACTGCAGTTGTCGGATCGTACGGCTGAGAGCCGAGGACGGTAGCGACGTATCACTCTCCGGGGAGGTGTTCCCCAAGGCTCCCGAGTTCATATCGTCCTTGAGCGCAAGGCGCTTGATTCGCAAGAAGTGCGAGATGTTCCTGTGTCACGTTCAGGATATGCGAAAAGAATCGCCACGTCAGCAGGACATTCGTACGGTTTGCGACTTCCCCGATGTCTTTCCCGAAGACCTACCTGGTTTGCCTCCGCCGAGAGAGGTAGAGTTCTCGATCAATCTCATTCCGGGTACGGAACCCATATCTGCTACACCGTATCGTATAGCACCTGCCGAGATGAAGGAGTTGAAGGCTGAGTTGCAAGAGCTACTGGAAAAGGGATTCATCCGACCTAGCGTTTCCCCATGGGGAGCACCGGTGTTATTTGTTCGAAAGAAAGATGGATCCATGAGACTTTGCATCGACTACAGGCAGTTGAACAAAGCCACAGTGAAGAATCGTTATCCGTTGCCTCGCATCGACGACCTGTTCGACCAGCTCAGAGGGGCTACAGTATTCTCGAAGATCGATCTGCGTTCTGGATACCATCAGATTTCCGTTAAGAGAGAAGACATTCCGAAGACTGCTTTTAGAACACGCTATGGGCATTATGAGTTCTCAGTCATGCCTTTCGGATTGACTAATGCCCCGGAAGTGTTCATGGAGCTTATGAACAGTGTGTTCCGACCATACTTGGACCAGTTCGTAGTAGTGTTCATCGATGACATCTTGGTTTATTCACGGACTCAGGAGGAGCATGCTAAACATTTGCAATTGGTTTTGAGTGTGTTGAGAGAACACAAGCTGTATGCAAAATTGTCTAAGTGTGAATTCTGGTTGAGTGAGGTGACATTCTTAGGACACGTTATCTCTGCCACTGTTATCCAGGTAGACCCCAGCAAGATTTCAGCCATAGTGGATTGGAAGACTCCGCGGAATGTCCGTGAGGTGAGGAGCTTCCTTGGGTTAGCCGGTTACTATCGTCGATTTGTTAAGGGCTTCGCCTCGATCGCTACTCCATTGAACAAGCTACTGCGTAAGGACATCAAATTTGAATGGTCAGAAGCGTGCCAGCGTAGTTTTGATCAACTGAAGAAGTGCATGACCCAGGCACCGGTCTTGATTCAACCTACTCCTAGCATCGAGTATACCATCTATAGTGACGCATCTCATAGCGGCTTAGGTTGTGTACTGATGCAGTTGAGTAAGGTAGTGGCCTACGCATCGAGACAGTTGAAGACTCACGAAGAGAACTACCCGACACATGATTTAGAGTTGGCAGTCGTGGTGTTCGCCTTGAAGATTTGGCGCCACTACATCTTTGGAGAGAGGATTCACATCTTCACCGACCACAAGAGTTTGAGGTACCTACTCACCCAGAAGGAGCTGAATCTTAGACAACGCCGATGGTTGGAGCTGATCAAGGATTACGATTTAGTCATTGAGTATCACCCGGGCAAGGCTAACATCGTGGCCGATGCT